AGCGTATATTTGTATATAATACCATAAGTTCAGCTATAAACAGCCTATATTTGTATATAGTACCATATGTTCAGCTATAAACAGCGTGTCTTAAGATTCAGATGTTTTACAGTGTCTCACTTCTGTTTACATCCCGATATTCTTCTCCATGCAGCTTCTGCACGTTGTTTAGCTCAAAGAAACATGGCTGAGGCTAAACATGGGCTAGATCAAGCCGATGTCTTTAAACCCAGGTGTAAAGAGGACGGGTCTTTCATGGAAGTCCAGTGTCACGAGTCGTCCGGCTACTGTTGGTGTGTGGACGAACATGGGAAACCTCTCACAGGATCGTCGGTCAAATACGGACAACCCAAGTGTAACAGATTCGGTATAATTACTACCTTCACTCCAATTACGTAATAGTTGAGTTACATATAGTTACTACCTTCACTACAGTTACAGTATAATTGAGTTACATATAGTTATAACCTTCACTCCAGTTACAGTATAGTTGAGTTACGTATAGTTACTACCTTCACTACAGTTACAGTATAATTGAGTTACATATAGTTATAACCTTCACTCCAGTTACAGTATAATTGAGTTACGTATAGTTACTACCTTCACTACAGTTACAGTATAATTGAGTTACATATAGTTATAACCTTCACTCCAGTTACAGTATAATTGAGTTACGTATAGTTATAACCTTCACTACAGTTACAGTATAATTGAGTTACGTATAGTTAATACTTTCACTCCAGTTACATTATAGTTGTGTTACATATAGTTACTACCTTCACTCCAGTTACAGTATAATTGAGTTACATATAGTTACTACCTTCACTCCAGTTACAGTATAATTGAGTTACATATAGTTACTACCTTCACTCCAGTTACATTATAGTTGAGTTACATATAGTTACTACCTTCACTCCAGTTACATTATAGTTGTGTTACATATAGTTACTACCTTCACTCCAGTTACAGTATAATTGAGTTACATATAGTTATAACCTTCACTACAGTTACAGTATAATTGAGTTACATATAGTTATAACCTTCACTACAGTTACAGTATAATTGA